TTGTTGTTGCTGCTGATGAATGGGATAATGACGTCGATAACTTTTCTAATGATGATGTTGTTGTTGTTGTTAATGTTGTTGTTGTTGTTGATGATGTTGTTGTTGCTGGTGATGAATAGGATAATGACGTCGATAACTTTTCTAATGATGATGTTGTTGTTGTTGATGATGATTTTGTTGTTGTTGTTGATGTTGTTGTTGTTGATGATGATGTTGTTGTTGGCGGTAGTGCTGATGCTGATGATGTTATTGTTGTTAGTGTTTTAAGTTCGGTAGTAGTAATTGTAGTTTGGTTAGATGATGCAGTAGTAGATGTTGTATTTAAATCTCTGGCTGTTGTTAATGTTATTGTTGTTGGTGTTGTTGTTGTTGTTGGTGGTGATGTTGATGTTGTTGTATCTAACAACAAATTGATCGGCGATAGATAATTAAAATTGTCAAAAGGTTTTGATAACGTTGGCGATCTTTCTGAAACAAAACTCTCCGTCAGCTTTTCCATGCTGTTTAGAAAGGGATACCCTTTGAAAAAATCGTCTTCTTCGTTATAGTAAATGTTGTTGCTGCTGTTGTTGTTGTTGTTGTTGTTGTTGTTGTTTTTAGCGTTGTTAGAGTTGTTGTTGATGATGTTACGTGTATGGCTAAAAAACCCATCAATTTTGCTGTTAAAACTGTTAATTTCGTTATCAAAGTTGTAGAATTCATGTGGATGGCTAAAAAAGTCGTCAATTTTGTTGTTGAAGTTGTTGATGTCTTTGTTCTTAATGATGTCATTGTAGTTGTTAATGTTTTTGTCATTGTTGTTGATGTTGCCATTGTTGTTGTTATTGCTACTGTTGCTGCTGTTGTAACGAGAAAGACTAAAAAACTCGTCTAGTTTGTTGTTTAAGTTGCTGGCATTTATATCATTGTTGTAGTCGTTATCTAGGCTATGTGGAGAACTAAAAAAGTCATCAAGCTTATCGCTGAAAATGTTGATGTCATTGCTGTTGTTATTTGTGCTGATGTCACGTGGGTTTAAGTTGTTGTTAAGGATGTTAAAGTCGTTGTTGATGTTGTCGTAGTTTAAGTTATTGTTGTTGTTGATGTCGTTATTGTTGTTGTTGTTTACACAGGCGTCACTGAAATCTATTAAAAGTTCGCCATCATCTGTGTAACTGTTGCTATTAATGTTAACATCATTACTATTGTCGTTGTAGTTGTGGTTATTGTTGTTACTGTCATTATTATTATTATTATTTTTATTATTATTATTATTATTATTATTATTATTATTATTATTATGGTTTTTGTTATTATTATTATTTATATAATTAATATTAGTGGCCATGTTATCTTTGAGAAAATTGTTTTCTTCAAAGTAGGTTGCTTCGCTTGAATCTGTAAGCGTCAAATCAGAGTTTTTCGTGGAGACAGCATCGTCATTGCTGTTGTGGTTTATGACGTCATTGTTGTTGGTGTTATTATTGATGTCATTCATGTTGGGGTGTTGATGTTAGCGTTTAAGTTAATGTCTGTAGCAATGATTTCGTTAAGCACGTCGTTTTTATTAATGTTTTAAAGGTTATTGCTACAGATGTTGATGTCGTTGCTACTGATGTTGTTGTCAGTATGGATGTTTTTGTGTATTTTGTTGTTGTTGTTGTTGGTGTTGTTGTTGTCGATATTGTTATAAAAACACATGTCTGGAAACAAATCCTGACGGCTTATATCTACTTGACTGTCTGCATTTTTCATGTTGGCAAAATATTTATGTAAATTGTCGTTTTTCGAATTGGAAGTCACGTTTTTGTTGCTGTTGTTGTTGTTGTTGTGTGTTGCTGTTGTTGTTGTTGTTGCTGTAGTTGTTGAGTGTTGTTGTTGTATGTTGTTGATGTAACGCGTGGCAACTATTGCCGCAGATGTCGTCTTTTGCATTTGCTAATTTGGTTTCTGTAAATGATAAAGTTGGGAACTTCGAAATAATTTTTACGCTAATTGTTGAGTTGTCATCAGTTGTGATTGACGTTGTCGTTTTTGCTGCTGTTGTTGGTGCTATTGTTACTGTCGTTATTTTTATACACTCTATCTTCTTAATGTCGTTGTTTGTGTATCCGAAAAATTTGCTTTCATCACAGTTGTAGGAAAAGTTCATATCTCCATCATTTCACTGAAACATTTCAAGAGTTTTGTCTCAACAAAAGATTGGTAGCTAACAGTTTCACATAACAAATTACTAAACTTACTACATACATAAACATATATTTTTAAAAAATTACAATTGTAATGTTATAATTGTAACAATTATTTTTTTATACAGAATTAGTCTTTTCCTAATAGTATAAGTACATATACTTGTTGGATTAGTATTTTACATATAGGGTAAGTGTATATTTTACTAAGAAAGAAAGAAAGAATACTTGGGTATTAAAAATTGATAAACCGATTGGATGCAAATGCAATACAATATATACGTAATAAATACAATGATGCAATTTACCTGAGATGCTGTGTGATCATAAAATCTTTAATATTTGTAATACCCTAAGCATGTGTTCGGAATGATGTGTTTATTATGTTTAACTATATCCTTCTCATATTTATATGTGTTTCAGTGAAACAAAAAAAAAGAAAGAGAGAGAGGAGAGAGAGAAAGAGAAGGAGATATAAAGAAAGAGAAAAAAGAAAGACAGAAACAGAGAGAGAGAGAGAGAGAGAGAGAGAGAGAGAGAGAGAGAGAGAGAGAGAGAGAGAGAGAGGGAAGAAAGAGTCGAACATTTTTCTGATTTAAGCTACTGATGCAACAGATGTTACACGTTACATCCACAATATATTGTAGTACGAGCTATCTTTGTTAATATTAATACCAGATGAGGTTTGGGTTATTAGAAAACGGACTATTTCAGTGTTAATTCAAATGTTAACTGTAAATTTATTAATATATTGTTGTTATATAACATTTGTGTGAATTTAATTTTATGCAATAATTCCATTTGGGAATAAATAACATGAAATTTGATAACATACGAATTACATGATAACATATAAATTAGGAAAATAATAAAAATCTCTTCATATACCATACATTCAGCTAGATAAAATTAAAATTCATAGTTATATGCATTAAATAAATAAGAATAATCTTACAAAATATGACAAATAGGCGTAAAATTCAACAAAAACATAATTTGTAAGAGAAAATTGCGTCCAATCATATAGGATATTATTTAAATACAAGTACACCTGTACGAAAGCACATCCCTGGGAAATAGGAAATTCCCAACAGGTTTTGTTAATATCAATTAAGAAGATAAAATATTAAAGTGCAATAATTAGTTGTCGATCATTTTCTATTTACTAATTTACTGATGAACGCCTTATCGAATTGCCATTAAAGTTAGTTTATTCTTTTATCTATTCATCCATCCATTCGTTTTTTATTTGTTTTTTTCATTTTTGTGTTTATTTGTTCATTTTCCCTTTCATGTCCTGGTTCATCTGTTGTTTTATTTGCTATTATAAGCAGTTACATATATATATATATATATATATATATATATATATATATATATATATATATATATATATATATAGTATATACTATATTATGACAGTAAAAAATTCATCTTAAAAACCACATTAAAAAAATGTTTATTTTATAATTTTATATAATTATAGTTATTATAGTAAAATATTCAAATAGTTTATTTTATTTATTCATTCGTTTGTTTGTTGGTTTACCCATTTATTTATTTTTATTTTATATTGATTTATTCTTTTGTTATTAAAAATTATTAGTCATTTTTATTTATTTCCTTTGTTTGTTTATTCATTCATTTTGAATTTTGATATTGTCATCTACATTTCTCTATTTATATCATTCATTCATTCATCTTCTATACACTCTGATACTTCTTTATTTGGTCAATTATTCATTCATTTGTTCATTCATTCATTCATAGTATCTTCTTTATGTCCATATGATAATGATGTACACATGAACACACATAAACATGCTGCTTTTTAGACACACCTATTTGTCAAACTTTTCATAAGTACCTTTTTAATAATTAGTTAGTTATAAATAAAAAGATGAATGATATGCTAATTATGAATGACCCTAGTATAGGTATTAGGTATATTGTAAATAATATTATTTCATTTGTTTGAAAATAATTAATTATTATTATTGCTATTATTACCATTTTATTCATTGTTATTACTATTTTTATTATTATATAATTTATTTTTTTATAGTAATTTTATTATAATTCATTTTTTAGCTCATTAAAGGATCAAATAAGAAGAAAAAGCAGCATGGATAGCAAAAAGAATTGTTAGAAGTTTTATTCTTAAAAATGTTTTTCATAAATTATTTCTCAATAATAAGTTAATTAATATTTTTGCTTAGTAAATCCCTTGATGGATCTGGTATTTTTAGAGTATTAAATAACAACATACACTGTTTCCTATTTAAATTTTAAATATTAAAAGTGTCGTGTAAATATTTCTTCAAAATTATTCCTTCTACGGTTCTTTCATTTGTTTGTTTTAATTCTTATTTAATTAATAATTTAATCTGAGAGTTATTATTATTATTGTTTTGTTTTTCATTTTCATTATTTTTAATGATAAACAAGATTATAAGCCAAAGCCCCTAGTGCCTCCAAAGCCAGTTATTCCTGACGAGATAAAAAGGTTTTTTTTTATAAAAAAATTATCTTAATTATTTTTTTAATTAATTAATTAATTATAGATAATATTAATGGTGAGTGGGGAAGGTGGGGAACGAGTGATAAGTAAAATAGACCCCTGTGGGGTATGTGATAGGAGAGTGAAGGCTAACTCGGTATTGTGTATAGGATGTCAGAAATGGGTGCATAAGAGATGTAGTGGTGTGAGGGGGGCACTGAAAAAGGTGGAAGGCACGTTCAAATGTAAGAAATGTGTTCATGGTGTGATTAATAGGACGGACGCAAGGACGGGGTTGAGTGATGGTATTGAAAGAGTGGAAAGCTTTGTTTACTTAGGGGATAAGCTGAATGCGGATGGAGGATGTTTGAGCGCAGTTACGGCTAGAGTTCGTGTGGGATGGATGAAATTTAGGGAACTGGGTGGGGTATTGTGTGGAAAGAAATGGTCAGTGAAGATGAAAGAGAGGGTATATAAAGCATGTGTGAGAGCAGCGATGATATATGGTGGTGAAACTTGGGTGTTGAGGAGAGAGGAGGAAAGTGTACTGCAGAGGGCTGAAAGAGCTATGGTGAGGATGATGTGTGGGGTTAAAGTGAAGGATAGGAGGAGTAGTACAGAGCTGATGTCAATGATGGGACTGAATGAGGACATTGTGACATTGATAAGGAGATCGAGATTGCGGTGGTATGGACATGTGTTGAGAAGGGATGAAAGGGTCGGGATTAGGCGAGCGTTGGAGTTCGAGGTTGAAGGAGTGGTAGGAAGGGGTCGTCCGCGATTGGGATGGAGAGAGCAGGTGGAGAAGGACAGGGTGAAAGCGGGGTTGCGTGATACTGAGGCGAGTGACAGATGTGGATGGCGTCGAGGGGTATTTCGGTTTCATCATAGGTAGCCAAACGGCAACCCCCGATCTCGGGGAAAATGCCGTCTAAACGTGTGTTTGTTTGTTTGTTTTTGTTTTATAGATAATATTAATTAATTAATACTATCTAATTAGTTAAGTTAATTTCATATTGACAAATAATGTTGATAAAATCTAATGTATTAAAGGCAAAAAAAAGCATTGGGTCATTATACAATTCTTGTGTAGATTCATATGAAACTATAGCTGCATGTGTTTTATATGCACCTGATATATATACCTAATGTTGTATAAAACAAATTTTGGTTATAATAACTAAGGATTTAAGTTGATCATCTTGAAATTTTACTACGCCAATCACTATTTCCATACAGCAAACTTCATTTCAAACAATCCAATGGAATATCACCAATGATCACAAAGTGCCCAGTTTCAAAATTAGAAACAACGAAATCGAGTAAGAGGGAGAAAGTTAACAACACAACTCCACCCAAAGAAGAGAAAGGAGAAATGGAATTAGATGTGGAATCAAACGTAAACAGTCGCCTGTCAATCAAAGTGCCTCCACCTCCTTCACAGCAGTCATCTTCGACATCGGCTCACAAAATTTCTTTTGAACAGCAGTTAAATCATCTTAAACAGCAGCTAAAAATAGAAACGTCTTTATCATCCTCATCATCAAATTTTGTACCGCCTGTTAAAAAACTCTTCTCACCAACCAGGAAAACCATTTTGAATACTAAAAGTAAAACCGAAAATGAGAAAAGCACTAAAAGTGATTCTAAATCTAATAATAACGAGAAAAATGATAGTCGTAATAATGATAACAACGAGAGTATTAGTCATCATAACGAACTACTGTTACAAATTCCACCATCATCGCCATTATCTGCATCACCATCGCCGTCATCATACTCACATACGGGTTTGGATCATATGATACCACTACATCAACAACAGCAACAACAACAGAAACATCAACAACAGCAACAACAGAATGAAAGACTTTTTAATGACTTACATCCCAGAGATCACATTCCCATGCCAGTGGCAAGGAAAAAGATTTTAGTTGGTGAAGAGGGAGGTAGAAATCTAAATAATCATTCCACTGAAGATGATGGTGTCGTCTGTGGTAACGTTGTTGTTGTTGCTGCTGCTGCTGATAAAAAAGCTGATGATGGCAAAATTGTTGTCGTTGACGACGACGTCAACGTTGACGCTGGCGGAATAACTCAATTACAACAACAACACAAATCGACAACACCGTCTAATGTTAAACAAGATTTTGAAGTAGATCATAATATTGTAGCGACGACATTAGAAATAGCACCAACAACGACATCAATAAGAACATCAACATCAACAAAACTGAAGACATCAACGAAATCAACAACGCAAAAACAGCAACAAAAACCCACATCGACAAACTCCAGACAAGGAGGTGTTGAAGAGAACCTGGATGTCTTAATTCCTGCAAGAACCAGTTTAGAAATGCAAAAGAAAAATAACAACAGCAACAACAACAACAACAGCAGTAGCAACATTGATAACAAGGCAGCTGTAAGCAGAAGAATAAAAAAATTAAACTCTGAAGCAATCCCAGATTCAGAAGTCATCAACAACAACAACAAGAGCACAGTAGACAAACGACATCTATCACTATTTACTGTCTCCTACAGCAACAACAACAATGACGTCAACAAACTCAACAACGCCCAACAGCCGCCAAAATTTTCTTTATCATCGCCAGAGAGAAAATCCACCAAGAAAAATAAACTAAACAGCGTTGCTCTTGATGATAAAAAGCTCAAACCATCAGCACTTCAAATTTCTTCAGATCATCGTAATCTCAATAGGTCTTTCGATTTTGCTCTAAACAATCTCTTGGGTAGGAATCTCTTCATGAAGGATAAACAGCAGCAGCAACAGCAGCAGCAGCAACAGCAGCAGCAGCAACAACAACAAAGTGTAGCCGCAGCCGCAACGGCGACAGCATCATCAAAAGAACAAACAACTGCAACGTCGTCTTCTATGTTCTATATCCAGATGGATAAATGTTCTACGTCCTCCTCACTGAGTGTTGTCGATCTGAAAGGCTGCGAGTTTCTTCCAGCCTCTAAGAATAATGGCCTGTTTGTGCAGAGCTTGAAAGGTTGTTTGCTGTTTCATTTGTTGGTTCATTTATTCATTTAATATTTTTTCACTAATTTTTTTTATCCATACAAGTGCTTCGTTTATTGATTCGTTTATTGACTTGTTTGTTGTTTGTTTGTTTGTTTGTTTGTTTGTTTGTTTGTTTGTTTGTTCGTTTATTGCCTTGTTTATATATTTATTCATATATTTACTCGTTCATTCAACTATTCGTTTAATCATTAATTAATTAATTAATTAATTCATTCATTCATTCATTCACCCATTCAGTCATTTTGATAAACTGACTAAACGGTTTTATAGATAGATCGATTGAAGTGTTTGCTTAATGAATGAATGAATGAATGATTGAATAAATATTATTTAAGCTGATTGACTGAAAATTTCAAAATAATGAATGAACATTTGAAAAGACGAATAGGGAGGTGAATTAATTAAATGGTTGATCTAACCAAATGGCAATAAATATATCTATTGCACGCATACAAACAATCAAACACACACAGCACACACACACATGCAGACACACAGCACACACACTCACACACACGCAGCCAAACAGCTGGACTGGTTTCAACAACAACACAGGAAACAACAACATCTTTCCAACTCATCAACGACATCAACAACACCGACCAACAACAACAACTATTACTACCCCCAAGATATATCATCATCATCATCATCCACCGCAGCCCTTGATGTGTTTTCCCCTCCCCACCAATCAAAATTGAACACATCCTTCGAGAGCCAATTAGAGCAGGCTACTAAAAATAACAACCAATACGATCTCGATGTTAATGTTCATGTAGATGATGACGGTGATTATGTTGAGAATGATGACCTCAGAAAGAGTAGAAGCGATTCTGTGGCTGCTGATTATGTGACCCCAGACAGCTACAACAGCCACAACGACAACCACAAAGATATCAGTTTGAGGAAAAATGACGTCAACAGGTTAAGTATAGACAACTACTTCGTTAACGACGAAGACATGGCGGTAAGCAGTTTTGGTGATGATATGCCTCTAATAGATGATGACGATGATAATAATAATAATAATAACAACAACAATAACAACATACAAAAAACTCGCAACCGCAATGATAATTACAACAACAACAACAATAGAAACAACTATGATAATAATAGTAATAAAAATGATGACGATGATGACGATCTTTCGTCGTCGTTGTCGTCGCTGACGTCATCTGTGACGTCATCCTCGCATCAGTCCTTCGACAGTAGTTACAACTCGCTGAAAAGGTATTTAAACAGCAGCCTGGATCAAGAAAAGATCAAGGCCGTATCTTCTCGAAATAGCAATACTACCAAATCAAGAATCGCTACCAACGCCACTGCCGCCACCACCACTACTACTGCTACTTCTATTAATAATAATAATATTATTAATAATAATAATAGTAGTAATAGTAATTATACTGCAAATTTTTGTAAGAATAGAATTAGTAGTAATAATTCGCTGAGGCTCAAACAAAAATACAAAAAGTTAGCCGACAGGAAGAAAAATATCAGCACGAACATCATTGATAGTGGCAATGATGATGACGACGATGATGTTAATAATAATAATAATAATAATAATAATAATAATAGTAATAATGATGATGGTATTAATGACGATGATGATGGTAATGGTGATGTCAATAGATGGAATTTCGTAAACTCTGAGAATGATAACAGCAACAACATCACCATTGTTAATGATGACGATGATGATGATGGTGATGGTGATAGAAAATTTAATGATGTTAAAAATAATAACAATAATGATAATAATAATAATAATATCAGTGTTGGTGTTGATGATAATGAGGTTAGCGTTATTGCCGCTGATGCTGATGATGACGGTTCTGAAGTTGGAAAAAGCAGCAATGAAAGAAAGGTATATAAATGTGATTACATCAATTAATTATTGTTATTATTATTATTATCATTATTATTCTTATTATTATTATTTATTTTTAGAAGAGTTCTAAGGATAAACCATACATGGTAGCTCTGGAGATAGTGTCCTCTGAGCAGAGCTTCATAAACATCTTGAAACTACTGGACGAGGTATGATACCGCAAACTATGATAACAACATTAATAATAATAATAATTATTATTATTATTGTTGTTGTTGTTGTTGTTGTTGTTGTTATTTCTTTTATTTGGGTCCCTGCAATTATCTAATTAATGATCATTTTAATGCTGTTTCATGACTAGCTTGTATGCATGCATACCTCACCTCTAAAACTGAATGACTACTGTGATAGAAACACAGCTTATTTGTATGTATGCGTGTGCGTTCGTTTGCGTGCGTGTGCGTGCGTGCGTGTGATGAAATTATTTATAATTAATGATAAAAATGGTAGCGAAGGAATGGCCGATATTGAAAGGATGTTAATTATTAATAAGTAAATGATCCTTTCGATTGGAGGATTGGAGTGTGGCTGAGTATGACTGATATTTACACTACGCAACCCGACAGCACGAGGTTCGAACGCACGCGCAAGCATTGCATAACGTGCTAAGAATTTATCCTTGTCTTTTTTTCTTTCTTTCTTTTTTATTATTTTTTAAAAAATAAGATTCTGGCGAACGCAGAAACTATTACGGCAAGCAAGGCCATAGTATAAAAGGACGACGAAAAATGTCTTTGAGTTTGACTCAGACAGCATTTGAATTACTCTAGCACGAAAGTAAAACGTGAAACACGACTGTCTTACCATCAGAGCTAACTCTTCAAATATGCAAGGATACTAGTGATACTACTGATCAATTGACCCAATAATCTGATTTTTAATTGGTACAGGACTTTCCGAATTTCATCCAATCAGAGAGAGCCTGTGGGAGAATGACGGAAGGGCCGGCAGACGTTAGAGACATCATCCGTCACTTGGGCAGTCTGAGGCAGTTCAGCGAGGAACTCCTGGCGAGATTGCGAGATCGTGTCAATAGTTGGTACGTTGGCTGTAACATTTCCGTTCTCACTTTATTTGTGTTATCGCTACATAATGGTCATACGCATGTAAAATTGTTTTATTTATGTTATTGTTATTATTTTTGTTCTGTATGTATACGTTTATTATTGCTATTGTTATTGTTATTATTATTATTGTTATTATTATTATTAGTTTTAAAAAATCTTTCCGTCTATGAATTTTTGGCGCTTTTACAATTGCCTATTTAGTTGACTGACAGGTTTTTGTGTGTTTCTGTGTGTGTGTAAGTGTGTTTGTTTGCGTGTGTTTATGTGTAAGTGTGTTTGTTCGCGTGTGTTTATGTGTAAGTGTGTTTGTTTGCGTGTGTGTGCGTGCGCGTGCGTGTGTGTGATTAGACTTCTGTTTGCTTGGTAGATAATGGTATAAATTATCTGGAAGTATTAGAGTTAATGACTTTTTGGTAATTTATTAAAAGGAGGGGTCTTGAAAATCGTGATGACGGTTATTCTTTTACTTATTATTAATTAATTAAATTATTATTTATTTATAAATTATTTTTATTATGATTTTTATAATTAAGTATTATTATTTTATTATATTTGGAATATTGTTTGTCAAACAAACAAACACGAACACACAAACACACACACACACACACACACATACAGACAAACAACTACTCTAATATGCACAAGTACTTAAAAATGGCGAAAATCTTTACAAAATCAGGACACTTTGTGTAACGTACACACACAGTACACAAACATACACATGTGCACACAAACAGACACATACAAACACATACACGCACGCACACACACAGGCACAAGGACCCGAGAATTGCAGATGTTTTCGAAAAAACTGGCCACTTCTTAAAACTGTACAGTAACTACATTAGAGATTTCAGCGCTATGACTCAGGACCTAGACAACGCAAGGAAAAAATTTCCTGAATTTGATAAGGCTGTACTTGAATTTGAGGTTAAATTTACATTTTTTTGTTGTCTGACTGTCTGCCTCTGTCTGTTTCTCTGTCTGTCTCTGTCTGTCTCTGTCTGTCTGCCCGTCTCTGTCTGTCTACCTGTCAGTCCATGTGGAACTACATGTTTGTGTTTGTATTTATATTTGTGTTTGTGTGTTAGTGTCTTTTTGTCTCTGTGTGTGTATGTTTGTGTGTGTGTGTAGCTATTTATGTGTAGCTGTATTAGTATTAATAGCAGCAACAGTAGAAGTAGAAGTAGTAGCAGTGGTGGTTTCAGCAGCGGTAATAGTCAGTCATTATCGCTATCGCAACTGTATACTGTTGTTGGCTTTATTATTATTATTATAATTATTGTTGGTGTTGTTATTATTATTAGTAATACATAACAGCAGATAAAATTACCTATATAAGTTTTAATAATAATAATAAGGGAAATTTTACATGACAGATGGCGGCAGCATCATCATCATCGTTGTCGTCATTTAAGGATGTTACTTAGTAATTAATTAATTAATCAATTGTAATTCTCTGCGTTTGTTTGCGTGCGCGCGTGTGTTTGCGTGTGTGAGCGCGTGAGTGTGTGTGCGCGTGAGTGTGTGTGTGTGCGTGAGTGTGTTCTGGCAATAATAATTGTTGTTATAACCACTATGATGGTGGCACTGATCCAAAAACATTATCATCGATTTTTCCTTTAATTCATTAGTAAATTATTCCACAAACTTGTGATATTAATTGAATAATTTCGTCATTTACATATCCATCCACCAATCTATCTATCCAACTATGTAACCATCCATCGATCCGTTCTTCCATCTATCCATTCATTCATCAATTCATCTAATCATCTATCTATCCATTCATTCATTCATCAATTCATCTAACCATCCATCTATCTATCTATCCATTCATTCATTCATCAATTCATCTAACCATCAATCTATCTATCTCATCATTCATTCATCAATCCATCTATCTATCCATCTATCTATCCATTTATCTATCCATCCATCCATCTATCCCTCGATCTATCTGTCTATCATTATCATCACGCAGAGCTTACCACATTGTCACAAGTTGCCTTTGAAATTTTTTATGCTGAAGCCGGTACAGAGAATACCGCAGTACAAATTGCTAATACAAGGTATCAAAAAAATGGGTTAACCACTCACTCATTTACTCATTTCACCATCATGTTTAGTTGCATTATCTCCATCATCTTATCACCACCATCATCATCATTTTGCTGTGTTGTATACATACAAATACAGTTAAACAGTGATTGTTAATATGTGAGTGAATCCACTTCTGTTTTGCTAGAAACTTCTGTGGATTTTATATGATGTCGTTAATATTGCAACATTTTTAAGATAATTTTATGATATTATGAGAAAATTATGATAATATTACACTTAAGTTACGTATGCAGTCATCATAATTTTTAAACAACGTATGTACATCACATGTCTTCATCTACTACAGAATATTTGAAGTCTCTGAATCCAGCATCACCTGATTATGAGAATGCCAAAAGTTTGATTTTTCATTTTGTTTTTATTGTTTTGTTTGTTTCGAATAAATAAATTGTTTTTTTTCTATTTCATCGTTTCAATTTGTTAATTTATTAATTTATTCATAAACCCCAGAAGCCCTACCAGTAGTGACCAGTGCCTCTGAACACGCCAATGAGAGCATCAGAAACTATGTCAGTTTGACACGATTACCCAATGAAATATTCATTCATCTCATCTTATTAATATAATTTATTCGTCGTCATTTACTTAATTGACGCAATTAATTGAATAGATATCTCATTAATTCATTCATCTTATCTCGTTAGCATTGCTTATTCATTGTCGTTTGCCTAACGCAATTAACTGATCGATTATCTCGATCTAATCAACATAATTTATTCATCTTTTGTTGGGTTATAATTGCTTTTAACATAATTTATTTTACTTTTGTTTATTTTATTTTTATTTATTTTTTTTTCTAGGAAAACCAGAGTAAAATGCTTGCAATACAGAATTCCCTGGCTAGCAATGATATCATCATTGAACCTGGAAGGGTCAGCCATTATTTTTTATTCAATATTTTATTAATTTTTATTTGATTCTTTTTTTCTGAAATAATAAAATATCAAATACGTTTTCACATTTATTTGTCTTCAAAATTTTAGTTCATAATTCTTGAAACACAGAAATTCATAAAAGAGGGGCAGTTAATGAAACTTTCAAGAAAAGACATGCAACCTAGAATGTTCTTTCTGGTGAGGTCTTTCATTGCGTCATTAATCAGACGGTTTAGTGGTAGTGTGCTTACCTCTCGCTCTACAGTGACTAGTTTCGAATGCAAACAGATCCACATAATGTCGTTGTTGTCGTTGCGTTGTCCTACGTTGTTGTTGTTAGAGCCGCTTATATGTATGCCGTGTGCTTGTCGTTAAAATGTTAACTCCACGAAACGTCTCTGGCGCTATATAAATGTTCCGTTATTATTATTATTATTATATTATTATTATTATTATATTATTATTTAATTTTTGCAACCAACAGTTCAATGACATATTGTTGTACGCGATAGCCCATGGTTACAATAGCTACAAGGTCCGCAATGTCATAAGCCTCAATGGTCTGACTGTTAGTTTTGGGGGCTTTATTTTTTGGTTTCTGTTATATTTTTTTATGTGGCTGATGATTTGTGGATTGGTGTGGTGATGATGCTGGTGGGGTTGATGACTCTTTATAGGGTATCAATGGTGGCGATGTTGTCTCTAGTGATGATGATCATGGTGATGATGACGACGACGATGATGGTAGTGAGGATATTATTTAAGATTATGATGAAGATGGCGATGATGATAATAATCATGATGACGATGACGACGATGATGATGATAATGATTTAAGATTAGTTATCCGGAAGTTGATGAGTTCGAAACCGAGTTCAACATCATCGCCGTCGAAAGATCATTCACAGTGGCCGCCAGGTACATCCCTGTTCATTTTAACATTCGTGCAAACTTGATTACGTCATAATTTTGTTAATTATGTCAAAATTAGAATTATTTTATTACGTCATAATCATGGAAGTAAACTTTTCTTTGCACTAGCTCCAAGCAGGAGAGAGCAGAATGGATAGAAGCATTTGATAGGGCACTTTTTGAATACGAAGGCGTCATTAACAGTCAACAAAATGTTTGTTGTTGTTGTTGTTGATGATGATGATGCTATTTAGTTGTTGTTGTTGCTACTGTTACTGATGATGATGATGATATTTCTTTACAATTCACTATAATGTAATAGACAGACAGAGATTAATAATGATGAATAAAAATTCATAAATAACAAATTAACGTTTATAAAATTTAAACATATGAACGAACCAACATACAGACAACCAACCCACCTACCAATCAGCTAACCAATCAACCAACCAATCAATCAATAAACCAACCAACCAACTGAACAACCAGGAAATACGTAGAAGAAACAGCAACTTCTTGGACTCGCTCCACTCCTCAATAACCTCACCATCAATCAAATCACCCACACCCAGTGTAGGCACGCCGATGACAGCCTCATCATTCTACAACAACATCATCAGCCACAGTGGCGACCTCCTTTCGCCGTCGTCGACAATATCGTCAACGTCATCGCCACTCCGTAAGTCATCTTCAATCGTCGGTAGATCTGACGTTCAGTTTAAAGTCGGCGAGAAAGCTCCTGTCTGGGTGAAAGATGACCGCGTGTCGAAGTGTATGGTCTGTGGCAAGGGTTTCAGTATGACCTTCAGGAGACATCATTGCAGGGGCTGTGGGAAGGTGGGTTGTATTTTTTTAGAGGGTTTCGATTTTTTAAATTTTCTTCACTACTTTGGAAGCTGTTATCAAGGTTTCGTTCACACTCGGTTATATCCTCAAATGTTTTATCTAATTTCTTCTATCCAGGTGCTCTGTAGGCACTGTTCGGAGTGTGTGGCCCCAATGAAGTACAAGAACTACAAGCCATGCAGGTGCTGTCTCGAATGTTACGATGTTCTTCTTGAAGGTCGGTTCTTCAGGTTCTTCAATTGTATGTTTGTTCTTCAGTTGTTTGTTTGTTCTTTCTTAAACAGTTCATTGTCGCTTGTTCATGTGAACACTACTGTTGATCAATTTGTTAAATAGTCAGTTTATTCCATCAATCTACCATTCATTCATTCGTTAATCTATTTATTCACTTATCCATTCATTCGTTCATTCACTCGCCCCATCATTCCTCCACTTAGATGCGGAGCGGAGGTACAGAGTCTACAAGTCTTCATCGTTCTACTGCAGCAGCAGCACCAGCAACATCACCGCCATCGAAAACAACGACGACGACAACAACAACAACAAGATTTGCAACAGCACCAGCAACAGCAGCAACAACGCAACCAACATCAGCGACACTGATCTCAGTTTATCGATACAATCTCATTCGTACGACAACCGCCTTACTGGCAGTAATAACTTCATGAGCCTCAGTTCTAACAACTTGTCTCTGACTGCTAACGACTGCAACAACGACAGCAAAACTCTTTTATCTCTATTTCGAAGGAAGGTTGGCGGTGCTCGTGACAGCAGCATGATCAGGGATAGGTTCAGACCGTCTGTTCTCTGTGAGGTGTGTTTGATGTTTTGTGTGTGTGTGTGTTGTTGTTGTTGTTGTATGTACGTTGTTTTGTTGTGTAAATTCTACGTTCTCTTTCATTTTGTCACGTTTCAGTTTGAAGCAACATCATTTAGATAACCAGCACATCATCGGTAGTATAGAGGTTACAAAACATTACTACACCACCCAACAACCACACCACACTACAACCACACCATTCAACAACCACACGACGCCACACTGCAACCACTACCACAGGTAACAGCGGACGACACAAACTCGCAAATGAACGGCTATCTCCTACAGATCAGAAACAAAAAGTGGAAGAGGTACTGGTTCGTCCTGAAAGATTTTGTGCTGTACGCCTATGAAGCAAGCAGGGACACGACGGCCCTCTACTCCACCCCCCTCTTGGGCTACATGGTGCAGAGGAGTGCCCTATTGCCTCACACTTCGGTCTATTGTTGTTGCCTTCCGTTGTGCATGTCATGTTCATGGTGGTGATGATGAAGACGATGATGACCTGAACTAACTTAGCTGTATATAATGTAAACGCTCTTTGAAGTTGAGCGTTTTATTTGCCTTATTAATTCACACCACCACATTGCACTTGCAGAATGTCGTCTTAGGAAGGGATGGTGATGATGATAATGATTTGACCTTTGAACTGACACACTCTGGAGTCAAGCCATTAACGTTTAAAGCGGAAACCTGGGCGATAAAAGAAAAGTTTGTTTACGTATTTGGATTTATATTTTACGTTTGTGTGTATGTGTGACTTTGAATTTCTATGCTCTCCGTGCGTGTCATGCGGACTGAAGAATGATGAATGTTGACTGGACGTGTTTGTTTGTTTGTTTGTTTGTCTGTTTGTTCGTTCGTTCGTTCGTTCGTTCGTTCGTTCGTGTATTTGTTGTTGTTATTATTTAGATTACGCCGCTTTTCATTTTTTTATGGTTGTTTGTGTGTGGTTGTCTGTCTTGTTGCTAACAGTATGTTGGATGATGAAGGTATACCTGAGGATTGGCGACACAGTGTGTTGGTGTCGTTGTATAAGGGCAAAGGAGATGTGAGAGATTGTGGGTCATATAGGGGTGTGAAATTGCTAGAGCACGGAATGAAGGTAGGTGAGAGGGTGCTTGAGAGGAGGTTGAGAAATATGGTGACAGTTAATGAAATGCAGTGTGGGTTTATGCCTGGCAGGGGAACGGTGGATGCGTTGTTCATGGTGAGAATGTTGCAGGAGAATTATAGAAAGAAGAAACGAAGATTGTACATGTGTTTTGTGGATCTAGAAAAGGCTTTTGATCGAGTACCAAGGAAGGTCATTGAATGGGCGTTGAGGAAGAAAGGAGTGAATGAGAGACTTGTTAAAGCTGTGATGCAGCTGTATGAAGGGGCAAAGACAAAGGTGAGGGTTGGAAGGGGGATGTCGGACGCTTTTAGTGTTAAGGTAGGAGTGCATCAAGGATCAGTGTTATCACCGTTTCTGTTTGCAATTGTGATGGATTTTGTGTGTGGAAACATAATGGAGGGGTTGTTATTTGAGATTTTGTATGCAGATGATTTAGTCTTGATGGCTGATAGCATGGAAGAATTGCAGTTAAAATTTGACAGATGGAGGATTTTTGAGCGCAGTTGCGACTAGAGTTCGTGTAGGATGGATGAAATTTAGGGAACTGGGTGGGGTATTGTGTGGAAAGAAATGGTCAGTGAAGATGAAAGGGAGGGTATATAAAGCATGTGTGAGAGCAGCGATGGTATATGGTGGTGAAACTTGGGTGCTGAAGAGAGAGGAGGAAAGTGTACTGCAGAGGGCTGAAAGAGCTATGGTGAGAATGATGTGTGGGGTTAAAGTGAAGGATAGGAGGAGTAGTACAGAGCTGATGTCAATGATGGGACTGAATGAGGACATTGTGACATTGATAAGGAGATCGAGATTGCGGTGGTATGGACATGTGTTGAGAAAGGATGAAAGAGTCGGGATTAGGCGAGCGTTGGAGTTCGAGGTTGAAGGAGTGGTAGGAAGGGGTCGTCCGCGATTGGGATGGAGAGAGCAGGTGGAGAAGGACAGGGTGAAAGCGGGGTTGCGTGATACTGAGGCGAGTGACAGATGTGGATGGCGTCGAGGGGTATTTCGGTTTCATCATAGGTAGCCAAACGGCAACCCCCGATCTCGGGGAAAATGTCGTCTAAACGTGTGTTGTTGTTGTTTTGTCTGTCTTGTTGCTCTTGTTGACTCGTTGTTGTTGTGATTGTTATTGTTGTTGATGTTGTTGTTATTTTAGTTTTTATTATTATTATTATTATTCCATTAAATTTAACAGATGGCTGAAAGCCCTGCAACGAGCTTCGGAGACGTCAGAGGCTTAAGGGGCGAACGAATGAATATATTTAAATAATTTTTCTCAGTAATTAATTAAATATTTCAATAATATATATATATATATATATATATATATATATATATATATATATATATATATATTTACAATATTCTATAAATTCTACCGAATGTTTGGCGTTAATATGTTTGTAGTTCGTTTTTTCGATTGAATATCGTAAAAATTATGGTCTATTACCAACATATGTATATATATATATATTTAATTATTTGAATTATGATTTCAATTAACTTTTCAATTAGTTATTAACTAATTAATTATATAGTTATCTTATTAATTAACTAATTAATTAATTAGGTATACTATCCATCTAATTATACATTTTACAGATTGCATAACTGTACATTTGAACACTTTTAACCATGGAGTGACCTTTTTAACCTTGTTTTACGATACCATACGTACTGTGTTATGCTTCGCACTGTTAGATGGTTTAAAGGTACTTGATGCTATATCAGTACTACATTAGTAATTTTCTTTATAAGATACTGTTGATAATTTTAGTACTTTCTGTAATACTATTGCTACTTATGTTTTAAAGATATATCTCTTAAATATATTAATATAATTATTATGATTGATATATTAGTAATAATATATTTTTTTCACTCTTAAAATTCACTTCAAATGTTCATCATGTGAATTGTTCATTAAATCATCGTGTGAATTGTTCATTTATTCGTTCATTCATTCATTTTTATTCATAATTTTAACCTCATAAACTTTTACAAAGAAAATTTTTATTCTAATTTTTAAATTCGGACTTATTTTATAACATATATATATATATATATATATATATATATGAAACATATATAATCGTATATATAAATATATATATATATTTATATCTTTTTAATAAATATTTAAAAATCATATTGTGGCTAGTTTATAGTTTGTGTGTGTGTGTGTGTGTGTGTGTGTGTGTGTGTGTGTGTGTGTGTGTGTGTGTGTATGTCTGTGTGCGTGTGTGTCTGTGTGCGTGTGTGTGTAAACATTTAAACATTTGTCAATTTTGTTTCTAAGTCGGTACGTATTACAAGATACCATGACAATTTTGTTTCTAAGTCGGTGGTATGTATTACAAGATACCATGGCATAGAAAGCGGCTGAAATGCATGCAAAGAAGCAAACAAAACAACATTTATTTGATGCTGTGGCATGTGTGTGTGTGTGTGTGTGTGTGTGTGTGTGTGTGTGTGTGTGTGTGTGTGTGCATATATTTAACTGTGCGTGTGTGTATGCGCTTGTATGCCTAGCCTATCCGTGATAAGTGGCGTATAATGTGAAGCATTGTTATTGAGATCAATGTAATCAAATGGTCATTTGTTGGCTATTTACGAGACTAGAATTGTTGGCTCTTGTGTGTGTGTGTCTGTCTGTGTGTGTGTGTTTGTGTCCGTATTTAAGTTTACGTACGTGCGTATATGTGCGTGTTAGTGTTAGTTGTGGGTGTGTTGTGGTCATTTGGTGTCGTCTTTGGTAAATTGTTAATAATAAAATACAATAAATTGTGGGCTTGCTTGCTAAGAAGAGTATATGTATGTACGTTTGTGTGTTTTTGTGTGTTTGTGCGCGCGCGCGTGTGTCTGTGTGAGTGCATATGTGCGTTTTTAGGGGAGAAATGTGTTATGTGCGTGCGTATGCAATTTCTGTGTCAATCAACATCTTTACAATTCAATTGTGAACTAGTTAATTTTTTTCTGTGAAATGACCATGTTTTAAAATATATTGACATCACTAACGTCAAAGATTTTGCAATAGAAATGATGGAGACATGTGATAGAGACTGAACTAAATAACAATGCACATGTTATTTATTTGCATCATACGGTCTGTCGACTAAGTCATGTTTATGTAATCTTACGGGCATTATTTTACAACATCGGTCAGTCACTCTGTGTGTGTGCGTGTGTGTGTGCATGCGTGTGTGTGCGTGTGTCAGGGTACAATTGATTGCGTATATATGTAGCTGGAGCGATCATAAACACCATGTATTCGACCATAAACATCGGCAGGAATGTTTATAAGGCTGTCCATTTGTTTATGCCTCTCTCCTTAAGTGTGTGTGTTTGCGTGTGTCTATGTGTGTATGTGCTTAATTATTTTATGACTTTGTTTATTAGTGGCCGTGGAAAATGTGCATTATGTGTGTGTGTGTGATTTTTGTGTACGTATATGTGTGCGGTGTGTGTATTTGTGTGCATAATGCGAATGGTGTGTGTGTGTGATTGTGACTCGTATGATATGCAAAATTAATAAAGTTTTAATGACAATATAGCTCAATTATTGCAATAATGACATATATATATATATATATATATATATATATATATATATATATATATATATATATATATATCTTATATCTCATATCTACATACATATTAAAATACTACTACTAATAGTGCTATAACTACTACTACTACTAAGAGTGCTATAACTACTACTACTACTACTACTACTACTACTACTACTACTACTACTACTACTACTACTACTACTACTACTACTACTACTATTACTACTACTAACAATAATTATAATAATAATAAAAAAAGCAAACACTCCCTACCAATACTAATTACAATTCCAATAAAAAACCCAAGAACAACACAATGCTTTAGCAACAAACAGTTAGACAAAAATAACGAGATGATGATAATTAGAGGTGGGAAGATGATAATGAGTTTCAAAGGAGAGAGAGAAAAGGAGGAAAGATGAAGAAAAAAGGGATGTACAGTACAAACACATGTTTATCAAATGTTTGGTTTCTTAACCATATGTTTGTTGTGTGTGTGTGTGTGAGTTGCGTTGTGTGCGTGTTGTGTGGGCTTACACCACACGCACACGTGCATGGATTTTGTTATACATATACACAAACACACACAAATTTACACAATACATATATAAATACGTACATACGTACATAATATACTAAATGTACATAAAAAAAACTTAACTTTGTTTAGCGTTTGTTTGTGTTTGCATGCAAATTAGCACGGTCTGAATGTATAACCATTACGTACATAACAACATAATGTATGTTCTAACACATGATGTATGTTCTAACATATATATACATAATATATGTTCTAA